AGCGTTTATCAATCGCCGGAAATCTTAGCCAATCCCACTGGACACTGGATCTATACCCACATGGGGCCCTCCTGACTGGCCACTCCCTCTGAAATCCACAATAACATTGGGCTGCGGCCACGGTTATGTATTAATACTTTTCACTAACAGAAATACAACTTCAACCAGCACAGTGCACGCCGCCACAATACAGTCCGACCCACGTCCCTGATATCGACTAGCTCCCGGCCGGATGCACATACGCAGAGCCAATCAGTCCGAATGTGACCTGCAGCTTACAATTGCTGTGTCGCATGGCGCATGGCACAGGACGATTCCTAGCAGCTGTCGGCTGGAGTGGAGAAACAGCACGTTGCGACACACCGCGCCGGCGACAGAGCTCAGCAGGGCTGGTTGGAGGCTGGAGCCGGAGGTAAGGGCGGACACAGGCACAGACATTGCAGGACAAATAACAGGATGTCAGTTAGGGATATAATTCAAGACGAATGATTCAAGACGGACTGAAATAATACACATTTTGCTCACTTGGATACCAACTTCAAACTTGACGTTTATGTATAGCACCATGGAAACAATGGGCACACAGGAAAGAAACAAAAGATGGGAGTTTTTTAACTCAAGGAAGTAAAACAGCCCGAAGTGCAGACAAGCACATACTTTTGGTAATAGCTATCAGCTGTCCTACTCCTCTTCTCCCTTCATCAACTACTGGACACATTTGAAGCATCATATATAGCACCAATGTCCATAACCAAAGCTTGCAAGTAGTTTTAACTTCTATGAAGCCAAGGGAAATGTGCCTACATTATGCATGTAAACTCAAAATTACACATGCATGACAAAGGAAGCTTATGTAAAGAGAATAGTTGACAAAAGCATCTCATGGTTAAAATTATTCAAAACTGCACACAGGGCAAACATAAAAAGCAGCAAGTGTACTGTTCTGTTATGCTAAGAAATAGTCCAAAACAAAATACAATCTTTTCATGTTTGAGCTGGTTGTTCTTCTATGCCCCTTCATCCATATCTTGATTACAGATGGGCTGTTACTGTAGGCTGATGAAGTGACACTTGGTGACTTGATTGCCTTTGTGCGAGTTTCAGTAATTGCAGCCTCCTTGGTACTGCACTGGAAAGCAGATTGAATTGAATGCCTCTGAAAGATAGGAAACAGGCAAAGTTAGCTGTAGTAGTGTCAATGATAATAGACATGACATTTTTGTCCTTTGACATACATTTGTTGAAGTACAAAAAGGTACAAAATAAATTGGTTTGTTTCAAGACACGCACACTGCACAAAGCCGCACAGACATTACACAGGCATATGAAATTGGTACACATAAAAATTGATGATTAAAAAGGTCAAAACTTGCAATAATAATTGAAGTAAGAGTAACAAGCACAATCATTTGATTTAAAATGACTTGACATAAGTCACAAGACGCAACGCTCCTATTCTTTTATGCTTTCATTATCCTCCATCTATCAACCAGCTTGATACCAGGCTGTGCAATAGTGTGTACATAACCCCATGTTGCCATTTTATTAGAGCAAGTGGGGTTACAACAACAATGCTAATGTCAAACCCACATCTGCAACCCGTACTGCAGTTTCAATCACCTTACAAGCACACCTTCTGGCAGTTTGATAGGCAGAATGGTCATTACTACTTTCCCCTCATATTCAACACATATTCCCTTTATACAGATACAGTTTAGACCTGGTTATGGCAAGCACTTTCGAGAAAATATAGGTATGATTAAAGTCCAAGACAAAGGTCGAGAGAAACAACACCAACATAAAACACCGACTATGTAGCACTATTACTGTCAAATTCATAAAAATATATACATGAGTCGATCAGAAATTCACTGTAGATTTCGAAAATGGTGTCAAATGCCACTCAAATACCCCCATTCGCATGTACGAAGCAATAAAACACTGACCTTCAATTCCTCGTGCCATTCTCCATAGGCCACTGTGTATTAAATAACGCGTTCACTGATAGCAAAAAAAGAGACCCACATATGACGCGTTTGCTACCAGCCAATCAGCGCTCGAGTTACCGAGCGCTGATTGGTGGAGAGGGCCGTCGTCAGCAGCTAATTACACGTTGTTTTCCTTGAACATGTGCGTGAGCGCTGATGCTGCTCACGGGCTGTTGCCATTTTTCGTAATGCTGAAGGCACGGGAGCGAACCCCCCTGGGACCACCAGATGTTGCGGGTGTTCCCGAGAACAAAATGTAGCCGGCGCGCCAGTGCCTCATTTGAGCTAAAATATCTCGTGTGATTGAAAGCTGTAGGGAGCTTGGCAGCCTGGTGATAGCAGAGTGATTCGCAAAAAAAAAAAACGTTAATTTATTTCAGAAGTGTGTGTGGCTGGCCCCGATGGTAATCGACAGTGGCGTACCCAGGAATTCGCGAAGGACCAGGGCATTGGACGAGAGGGCGCCAATCAAGGAGGGCGCCAACAACAAGGAGGGCGCCACATATCTGAAACTTGAATGTGTCAGTTATGTTCGTACACGTGCGGAACGAACATAACTGGCATACTGGACAGAGGGGCGCCACCCACCATCATCTAGGAGCGCGACGCTATTGATTGGAGGGGCGCCAATACTGGACAAAGGGGCGCCACCGGCCCACTATATCGTCTAGGAGGGCGCCACTATCACCAGAGGAGCGCCAATACTGGACAGAGGGGCTTCGCCATCAACTAGAAGCGCGCCGCTATCGACTGGAGGAGCGCCAACACTGGACAGAAGGGCGCCAGTCACTGAGGGCGCCGGGGACGATGAGCCAAAGGGACAGGGCATGCACGGAATGTCCTGTATGTGCGTACGCCACTGGTAATCGACCAAAAACTATGTCACAAATGACCACCAGTTTCACAAATGACCACCAGTTATTCATTTACGGGAAACGGCGAAACGGTACCTACCTCCATTTCGTCGACCTTGACTTTCATTACATATCTTCAGTAACTGGTTCAGTTCACCGCCATTCTTTTGAGCGTAATTTAGTATACGTCAGAATTACCAAACCGACAATCGACGAACAAAAGAGCCTATTGCAGGTCAAATGTCTCACAAAAGTCTGAAACGGGTGGCACAGACAGGGGAAAACCAGCTAGCTCAAGCACGCCGAACAGTGAGGGAAATATCCCGCCGGCCCCGCCCCACCCACTCACTGAATAATGTACCAAACGTGTCCATTGTACACGTGACCAACACATACTTTGTGACCCCCTCCCCGTCAGATGGAGGGGGGGGGGGTGAGTTTATCAGACACAGGAAACGGTCAGGGGAGGGGGGGGGGTGCGGAGCGGGCAGGGGGGCACGGCCGAGAGACTCGGTGGGGGGACAAGGGAGGGGGAGGGATTCGGGAGAGGGGGCACCGAGGGGGAGGGGCGAGGGGACAGGAGACGCCGTGACTCGTCGAGTGTGAAAACGTGCAGGCTCGGCTCGGTCTGTTTCCGTCGACAGTGTGGCCAGATAGTGTCGGTACAGTTGCCAGATAACGAATGGCCAGAGTCGGAGCTCACGCTTGGTTGCCAGTTCTGTCATGCCGGCGGTATTAGCTGATCTGGAGCTTGGGACAAAGCACAGAAGCATGATTCAGTTATGAGGCTGTGTCAGATAGATTTAAAACGAAAGTATTTGAAGCTATGGTTTTCATTCTGGGTACGGATTTAGAATAGCTCAGAGGCTAATGCAATGCTCATTTTAAATGGAGTGAACTCGATGAACTAAAACGTAAACGTTTCGTCTAAATTATGATAAAGAGTTACGAAACTGCTTCGACATGAATGTGATGGAAACTGGAAATTCCACAATTGCATCACTATTCTGCACAACCAAGGCGGACCAATTTGCCCATGACTTACACCGATAAAGCCCTATAGGATATGTAGGTACCTACCTAACACAAGCCTGATAAAGTGGAACAAACGTACAACGTATGCCGCTCACTTGCTTTGCGACTTGATTTCGCATCTCCTCGAAAGTGAGAGTAGCCATGCACAAACCAGAAATGAGTTGCTTCGCTTTATCCCAACTAAAGTGTGTTTTACACGCTGTAATCCGGTCACTATACTGGCCGGTAGGTGCGGCACATCCCTACCGGAGTTGTGTTCTCACAAAACCGGTTTGTAAAACCCCCGAGCTCCCGTCGAGGTCCGGTTTTCATCTCCGATTCATTGCTAAGTATGGGTTAGCCCAGATATATCCGGAGCTGCAATATATCTTCAAACCGGCTTGTACAGAAGACATCAGTGACTGGCGGCTGGCGCTAAAGAAATGACGGTGCGCGGCTCAGGTTTGAATTATATACTTCCGGAAATGCGGCTAGGCCTTCCGATTTGATTTGTAGGTACTTATTGATTTCAGCATAATGATCGCCGAAATGGTTGAATAACACTAAGAACTCAAGCACAATGAACCTCACGATACCTGCACTACACATCTATTAAACAAATAATAACCGCAAACAAATCCCTAACAATCAGACTGTGTTCACTTTCACTTTTTGGCATGACTCGGGTACATCGTTACTGCGATATTTCTAAGAAAATCCAACAAACAAGGCTGAGATAAACCGTGACGCAAATAATATTTCTCCAAACTCCGTTTCTTTACACTATATCCCCACGTCAAAAACTCTTCTTTATACACGTTTCATTTTCGGTGTAGCCTAGTTACCTAACCACAACCGCACTCATCCGGTCTTAGTTTTGACGTTGCTCGCGTGAGGATGTCCGCTTTGCGGTATTACGATCATCCCTGCAAATTTCCGACCGAATTGCATCACGCGCACCCACAGACAAAAAATGTCGCGCTCGGATTTACGAAATACTCGATGCCACCTGCCCTGAACCACCAGCTGAAATCCGATTTCAGATCTCCGTTAGGCAACTGTCGGCGCTACATGCCTCGGTGCCGGCGCCACTGCACGTCTTTGCAGAGTCGGAAAATGTGTCAGAGTCTATATAAAGCCGACCATGGCCGGCGCCAGCCTCCCAGAAACGGGCCCGGAGCCGCGGCGGTCGGGGCCGCCGCCAGCGCTGCAGGGCACCTGGTGAGGGCGCAGAAACTGTGTGAAAAGGTGCGAAAAAGGGGAGCGAGAGCGGAGCGAACCGAACGACAGTGAGAGTAACTCTACGCAAACAATGTGTAACTAAGCACCGTTTTACATCTCAGACGGGTGTAATTACGCTACAATCTGGCGTAACTGTGCCCCGATCGAGTGTAACAAGGCGTAAAACGGGTGTAACAACCGAGTGTAAACTGGCTTCAGCGGAGTGCATCAAAAGACAACAGAAATGGCAGCCGCGGCGACTTTTGTGACAGTGGTGCAGCTACTTCTGCTCGGGCTTGTCCACAGCGTCCACAGCCGGTCTCCAACGGTGGACAACAGTGGAAGGTGGACTGTGGTGGACAGCGCGGTGGAGACAGTGCCAGAGGGGGTCTCACGAGTGCCGCGAGTGCCCGCCGGAGTGTCGGATTCCGAGTGGAGAGGAGTGACTGGAGGAGTGTTCGGAGTGTCACAGGGAGTGTCGAGAGTGCCGCCTAGCGATGTGAGGTCTAGCGGAGCACTCACTGGCGTAATGCGTCGAATGTTCGATCGAGAGACCCGTGGAGTGCCGGCAGGAGTGCCCGACGTGAGTGACGTGAGATCAGTCGGAGTGCTGAGGTCCTCAGTAGCTGACCTGACCTCCCAAGGCGCGACATCATCTGGAAGTGTCCCATCAGTGCCGAGAGCATCTCTTTCAGCACCATCTCTGTCTCAACAGAGATGGAGACCGATCATCCCTCCAGGAACTCGGGACCTGGCTGTAACATCACGAGAAGTCGCATCCAATGGCCCTGAGCTGGTCTCAGCAGAAACATCACACAAAAACACCTCGAAGAGCACGCAAACATCAGAAGAAGTCCACGATCCTGACAGCGACATGAGTGACGTCGATGACATCGACGCCCCAGAAGAAGACGTCGAAATCCTCGACAGCACGCCGATAACCTCCGCCACAATGGCGAGGATTCAAAAATCCCTCATCTATGCTTCCTCTCATGGTGATCAAGGAACCCCTTCAGACGTCATCAGTTCCCTAAATGACGTCATATCCAGTGGACACTCCAAGTCCTCCATCGTCCCCGGTCCCACACCTTTTCCAGTATACGACCGTCGCTTTACCGGCAGTCGAGCGCTCTTTCCACAAAGACGACGCCGTCCAACGAGACTCCGCCTCTGGCCTAACGGTGTCATTCCCTACAGCATATCCTCCAACTACAGCTCCTCGGAGCGGGAGCTCATCAACAGGGTCTTCCGGCTCTTCGAAACCGTCACCTGCCTTCGCTTGGTGCCTCGAACTAGCGAGAAGGACTACGTGCGTATCACTCCCACCGGTCGATGTAGCGGAGAAGTGGGACGCCGCGGAGGACGCCAGAAGATCAGCCTGCCACACTGGTGTCTCAGTTTCGGACACGCTGCACACGAGCTGATGCACACAGCAGGGTTCTGGCACGAACATCAGAGACCGGACCGGGATCAGTTCGTCAGGGTGCTGTGGGACAACATCAAGCCACGACATCGTCGGGCCGACTACGGCCGGAGGGTCTGGGAGGAGCTCGGCGAGGGCAGCTGGCTGGGTCCGTACGACTTCCGCTCGATCCTGCATTACTCGGGACGCGGCTCGGCTGTGGATAGCACCAAACCCACCATGGTGGCCAGACAGGGTGGTGTCAAGCTGGGAGGCAACGGCAACCTCACGGACATCGACATCTGGAAGATAAACACGCAGTACCACTGCTGGCAGCGTCGAGTGGCCAACTCTTTGTATGAGTTTGGTGACAATCGGCTGGGAGGACGGGAAGGCAGGCGGTTCGGCAGACTTGTGACGAAGGAGGAAAGCACGAGAAATAGTCCGAAGGCGTCCTCAGAGCAAGGAGAAAATAATACAAAGAAGATCTTGCAGACACAAGGGACAGCAACGTTCACGAGCAAGACAAAGTCCACAGAAGAGGTGCTGGGTGCCATCAAGGAGTTGGTTGAATACAGGAACAGGAAAACACCAACTGCTAAAGAGCAGATCCTTGCCGATAATTCAGCTTCAAACGTCAAAGGAGGCGAAGCGAGCATAATTCCTAGTTCGATAGCCCGACACGTTAAACCAGGGCCCAGCAAAGTGGAGGTGATAGCTTCAATATTGCAAGGCAAGTCTATTCATTCATCAAACTATCACGTACCAGACACCTCAGAAAACAGAAATATTGAAGACGCTGGTAAAAACGGGGAGGCCTCGGTAAGACCAGAAGATCAGCATTTCACATCTGATCTGGAGGGCGCACAACACACATCTCAAAGTGATGATCGAGAAACAACCGGGTCTGCGGCACCTTCCACTAGGCCATCACACCGCCAACGATATGAATTCAGAGCGCAAGGATCTTCCAGCAGGACGGAATCATCACACTTAGACCTACATTCAGTAGCGAAGCATGTCTCTGTGTTAGGAAATGAGGAAGCTACAGATTCATCACAACTAAAGGTTTCCAGAGGGCATCCAAATCCACACCAGGTCACGTCAGTACCGGAGAGTCAGATCGCTGCGACACCTCCACCCACCCCTCTGACACGTCTCAGAGTAGTCGTCAAGCTGAAGGACCTGCTGAAACCCACGGCGACCTCACCAACAAGTACAACACCCCCTACGAGAACTGAAGCTACAGCATCTCCTAGCGGCAGGCAGCGTGACTTCGACAGGGTGGTAATTTCACTCACCGATCTACAGAAGCTCAGGGCCAGCAGACAACAAGATCGGGGAAGGATTCTTCAGCAACATCAGCAACAGCCAACTGAGCCACAGGCTCAACAGAACCAAAGAACAGTCGTGAGTTATCAGCTACCTCAATTGCCACAGCGTGAAAACAATGAGGCTCGGGCGAGCCCCGGAAACTTCCAGAGAGCTCAAAGAAAGCTTCCGGATAACATTCAGTACAATCAACCAGCCTCTTCTTCATCCAGCTCCAGCATCAACAAGAACAACCCGTTCGGTCACATCGGAGGATTCCGTATCGGAGATCGCTGGTTCTTTTCCAGATCTCCAACCAGTCAACAGACTGATGACGTCACTACTGAGCAAAGCGTCGGCAGAGATGACAATCCTTTCAGACACATAGGAGGGTTCAAAGTCGGGAATGAATGGCATTTTGTTAGGAATCATCGCCGAACAAAGCGAAGCTGGTTGCAAAGGAGGCAAAAATTGTAATTCCGTTCGACGAATAGATAAATTCCTAACTAGCGTTCAGAGTTAAATATGACGCAACATATCATTCATTGTTCGAAGTACGTGTCGAAGCGGAAGGAGGGAAAGTGAGTGTAAACTGCACAAGGACAAAGGAACACGAAAGAACAAGTTGGAGGGCGAAACAAGTTCAACGTTGACAGCAAGCATGTGGGTTGAAAGCTGATAGGTATTGTATCCTTGAGTGAGACACGCTCATTGAACTAGGTCGCGTTACAATGTGGTATGTGTGTTGTGTAAGGTGGGCAGGCGGCAAAAGATCCCATTTGATGTAAGGAATTCTCGGTGCCAATGAACTTACCGGATCTCGATTTTGCTGATGGTGAATGCACGTAAATATTCGACCAGTGGTTACTGCCAAGCAATGCAACCAAAAACGTTGTGAATGCTCAGCCTGAAGTCATGATGAATCAAGCACTGCCATGCCAAAAAGTGTTTTGCGGCACGAAATTCACATTCCCGAATTTCGCGCTGTGAACGCAGGTCGATCTATTTCACCGGCCCTCACGCAATGAAGCCACCTGGCTATGACAAGACACGTGTATGTCAGCTCAAAACCACCTCAAAACACGGCCACTTCTTTTGTTTAAATTCATACCCAACAGCGACCTAGATTGACAAGATCAAAACGCGTGTCTGCCGTTATTTAGTTCGAGTTCGGTCCCTGAATCATGCAGAAACACAAAGAAGTGTATGTTTATGCTAGAGATGCTCCGTCGTTATTCCTTTTATGTGATCGCGTGCCATATTGTTTGAAATATTACGGTGCTGTCGAGTGTCGAGGACTTTATGCATGAACCACAATGTTTGTTGCAATGAGCTTGTTAGATAATGCGGCTGCCTGAGTGCTAATGTGATGTAAGCCACAAAAGGCGTACAATACTATCAGCTTCCTGCTGAAACAATGGCGTTACAAGTGTCGCGAATCGAGCACGAATTAATTGTCCCAGTCTTTACTAAAGAATGATTCAATGAAATCTGCCACTGTTAGAATTTATGTATTTCATGAAGTGTGCCTAAAAAAAACTGGTTTTGAGCTGGCTCAATTACGTGCAAAAATGCCTCACGATCATGAACATGCATTGATTCATATGGGTATTATGTAAACGCTCGTTAGTGGTAGCTTGAGCTTTAAGTTGCACTTGTCACGTAATGAAACCGCATCCATTGACGCATGAGCTGGTCTACGGAGTCCTCATTCGAAAAATAACTTTTATTGTGGGCACGCGATAATTTTTGGTACTCGAAATTTAGAGTGAGCTTGTTGCATGTGCCTGTTACGCAAACAGTATTGCCTGGTGAGGATTTCGGTGCGTTTAACTGAAGACGAAAGTGAAACATTGATTTACAACGCAAAATGCTGATGGAAAATAACAGTAGAAATGTAAATATACCATGTACGTATAAAACGTTACTGTCGCAGTGCTTTCATATTACGTTGTTGAATAAACTGCATGAGTTCAATAGTCAATACGGTCGTTTTAAATCAACTTTTCACCATACCATAGTCATTCATGTGAAAGAGCAAAACACCGTGAACCATGACAAACGTTTCACTGAACGGAAGAGGGAAGTGAGCAGGGAGCACGCTCCTGGTCCTTAAAACTTCCACCATAAATAACTGATGAGTTTAGCCAACAGCTATGCTACGGTGTTAAGTCACTAGCTAAATAAGCAGCACCTATCAACCAAGCATAGGTTATCATGCAAACTACATTCGTGGCAGGCGATTTTCTAGCACGCAATTCTAGCGATAAAGTCATGAAAACGGTGACGAAGTCGAGTGAAGTCGTGTCCTCCCGTGGTACTTCTGGTGACGTTTCACCGCATGAGTCAGTATATTCGAATTTTCTCAGCGTAGACACATTTTGCCACAAGACAGCGCGGCTAGAACGAATTATCATTACGAATGAGTGCGACTTAGGACGAACAAATCGGGAACATTGTGACATATTCACATTGTAAGTTTACTCGGTGAAATTCACCCTCATTTGCACCTCACGCTATCTTATAACTTACAGCACCCCGGCACATACAATCCATTCAGTGCTATAGCATCTGCTACTGTGTAGCTCCTAGTCTTCTAGTCTTACGATAGTAAAACGACTAGACCACAAATTAAAAACAAAGGACACTACACTTAAAAACTATTTAAGCATAACATTTTAAACGTGGCTTCTAGGGTCATTTATCGAAACCTCTGCAAGTAGTCTCTAGATGTGTTTTGTATGCACGGAAACAAAATAAACTACAAGACGCTGGCGCCAGACCAGAACTGACAGACCGCAGCGTAACACAAGAATACAGGACTTCAATTACACTTTTAAAATGCACACTGATCACACTATACTGAACAGTGCACCAGACGAGGAAACAGCTCGAATACATCCGCGTGCCTAGAAACTTGTCATTTCCAAACATCACTTGGAAACACAGTAATAAGGGCTGAGAGCACTTATGCCTTCTTCCGTAACTCTAAAACCATGCTAAGACCGAATTCTCAATCCCATGGAGCTAAAGAGCGGAAAACGGTAGGTAAGTATTTGCGAAATGCTCCTCACATAAATATCGTAAAATGTAACACCATTATACCGAATCTTAATACCATCATCACCCTTCAAAAGTCACATGAACGCAGCCAAAATGTCACTGCATCGCCCTGACACACGAACACGGACGAGGGTACACGTTAAACGCCCCGCCGCTGACTCACGCCTCATACACGTCGCTCGAATACCTCGGCGTTCCACACACAATGAACTCCATCCGTGGCCGTCACAAGGACCCAATTCCAAACTGAACCGACCACCCCGTCCTCGTTCCATTCAGTTGGTCTGCAGGTCGTGCTCGATGGTACGCGCGATCCAGGGCAGGTAGGAGGTGATTTTAGTGTAGACGCCTGGTTTGTTGGGCCGCGCACAGCCCTGGCCCCAGCTGGTGACGCCGTACAACACACCGACACCTGGGCACACAGCGGATATATGACGTCACTGGGGTGACGCCGTACAACACACCGACACCTGGGCACACAGCGGATATATGACGTCACTGGGGTGACGCCGTACAACACACCGACACCTGGGCACAGCGGACATATGACGTCACTGGGGTGCAACTAGGAATAGGCGGTGGAAACGGTATGATTGGTCTGATTTAATCATATACGTACGCTTAAACAACATCTATAACCATCACATTATACACAAAATATGTTCAGTTTGATGCTCGACGCTACAAAAAGGATAATGTCCTCGAATGCATCCAACGATGCTAGCTAACTTCGATAAAAGTTCATACATGATATCTGCTACTCTGTAAAGCCTCCAATAGCCTTACTTCATTCAAGGATATCTAATCAACAAATCGAGTCGCGATACTTACCTTCACCGTTCTGATAAAAAAAACACACACACACACAATCCCCACCAGGGCTCCCGAAAACACTGCTCCCTTTTCCAATCCGCCCTGCTCACCGTTTTCGTCGCAGACCATGGGCCCTCCGCTGTCTCCCTGACAGGTATCAATGCCTCCCTCCAGGTACCCGGCGCAGTACATGCCGTCCGTGATTTTGCTGTCTCCGTACACGTGCCGGGCCGTACAGGTACTGATGGGCAGCAGGGGCAGTACCACGGAGCGCAGACGCCGGGCGTACGCTGCCGACCGTGGTGACGGTGGGGTGGGGGGTCAGGCGGGTAGGGGGGAGGGGGGTCCGTGGGGTGGCGAGAGGGGCTAGTGGACGTCCTGGGGGACGCTTCTACGAGGTAGGGGAGCTAATGAAGTCTGAAGTAGGGCTAAGGCTACTAGCTATTACCTACACAGATTGCCGAGAGGGCTACAGTGTTGGCTTTTCCATATCGCTGGAAAGAAGGGATCTAAGAAGCGCTTCAACTGCAAGCATCACACAACAAAGAACAGAGCCAGCGAAACAAAAGAAAACAACTACAATAAAATCTATATTACTACTAGAGGGACAGCATTACGCGCAGCGTATTGAATCAAGTGTCAATAAAATCGGCCCAGTAGCGACCGAGTTATTGCCAGAATAAATTTGGCGTCTCCTCCTGGCCGGCGGTGCTCTGTTCCGGTATTCATTGCCAAAGGTCAGTGACCTGCCGGCTCTGATTTCCCTCAGTTTTGCAGCGAAGAAACTGAGCCTAAGGCGCGTGCCGTCTGATCGGCACCGGCCGCGGCCCAAAATGCCGCAAAGATGCGCCCGCCACGTGCAAACCACCGAGCGCACCTCTTCCAAAATTTAATACAACAAACAGATGCACGCGTCCGACTTGCGTTCAAAATTTCATCCCCGTAGCCCGCACCGTTCCGGAGCAATAGCCCTTAAAGCGTGACTGACGCGTTTCATACAGACATTTTGATTTTTATATATGTAACTAGGTGCCGAGCATTACGCGCAGCGTAATAAATCAAGTTTCATTGCAATCGGCCCAGTAGCGGCCGAGTTATGGCCAGAATAAATTTGGCGTCTCCTCCTGGCCGGCGGTGCTCTGTTCCGGTATTCATTGCCAAAGGTCAACGACCTCCGACTCTGTTTTCCCTCATTTTCGCAGCGAACAATCTGAGCCTAAGGCGCGTGCCGTCTGCTCGAAACCGGCCGCGGCCCAAAATCCCGCAAAGATTCGCCCGCCACGTGCAAACCACCGAACCCACCCCCACCAAAATTTAATACAACAAACAGATGCACGCGTCCGACTCGGCGCAAAAATTTCACCCCCGTAGCCCGCACCGTTCCGGAGCAATAGCCCGCCAAGCGTGACTGACGCGTTACATACATACATACATACATACATACATACGTACAGACATTTTGATTTTTATATATGTAAATTTGAGGAGGGTGCGTCTGTCCGTTACCGAGGTCCCGACTTGGTGGTGCTTTGCGTGGACTACAGGCCAGACCGTTGCACCTAGCCCGGTGAATTTTGCACAACTTATAGATCAAGGATGCGCGACGTGCCTTTGAGGGGTCTCAGCTCGATCGGATTGATAGGGAGCGCGTGGCGCGTGCTCAAAAAGTGCAAATTCGCGTCATAGACTTTACATGCATAAATCGGCGTGCGAAATCGGGCGAAAACGGCTAATTTTGACCGACACGGGTCCAGTTCCCGTGCAATATCTTGGTGACCAGGGGTCCGACCGGCACGGGGAAAACAGCATCGTGTACAGAATTGAACGGGCTATTGAATGGTGTGCAATGCAGAGGATAGCACGCGCCACGTGCACCGGAGAGGGCACTTTTATTTGAAAAATTGCGGTTTTTGAGGGATTTTGGAATTAATTTTATTTTTAGGTGACCGTTAATTGGAGCGAGTTGAATCGACGCCTATTTGCAAGAGAAAGGTACCGCCTCTCATATAAAAATTGTGAAAAGCTGATTGATCCAAATCAAGGTGGTGCAAATCACAGGAGAAAATGGTGTTTGTCAATTTTGTGCCACTTTATTAATCACACGGGGTTTGCTGCATAACCTGATACCTTTGGCAATTGAATATGGTACCATTGGATAGAGCATTCAATTCTGTCCAATATTCACTCTTAATTTTTGCATAATGAGCAACAGTATTCTCAAAAATATAAATGTTCCAAACCATTACATTGTCATTTTTAGCGAAATTCATCGATGGCCCTCAAAAGACTTCATGCCAGTTTTCGAATCATTCTTAAGTAGAACGCATGATAATACGACACGGGCACCTCGGTGCGATGTATCTTTTTTATTTTATTACAAAATGCTTGGCCGTCAAAGAGCAATCGAACGAAATGGATACCAACCAAATCGACACAGACCAATCCAATACCCACGGGTCAAAAACAACCCTTCTTCGCGTTGCGGAGTACGCGGGTAACCCTAGTATCCACTATCTAAACGAAAAGCTCTCACAGCGAAAAAATAAAACGCCTAAGCCACTACTACACTACACAGATGCTATCAAGAGAGATGCAATCCTACCATCCTACCCCTCCGAGCACCCATCCCATTCTCTCTCTCTCTCCTCTCTCTCTCTCTCTCTCTCTCTCTCTCTCTCTCTCTCTCTCTCTCTCTCTCTCTCTCTCTCTCTCTCTCTCTCTCTCTCTCTCTCTCTCTCTCTCTCTCTCTCTCTCTCTCTCTCTCTCTCCCTCTCTCTCTCTCCTCCTCTCCCCCTCTCACCTGCCCGTCTGCCAGTGCTGCCCCAGCCGGCTATGGTACATTTTCTGCCCGGCTGGTACTCCATCTCAGGCGGAGCCAGGCAGACGGGCTGCACCTGGCGACCGAACCGAATACCGGCTCCCTGCACCGGCTGTGGAGGAGTTAGAGTGAGAGAGTTAGAATACCGGCTCCCTGCACCGGCTGTGGGGGGAGTTAGAGGGAGTTAGAGTTAGAATACCGGCTCCCTGCACCGGCTGTGGGGGAGTTAGAGGGAGTTAGAGTGAGAGAGTTACAATACCGGCTCCATGCACCGGCTGTGGAAGGGGTTAGAGTGAGAGAGTTATGAATGAATACCGGCTCCCTGCACCGGCTGTGGGAGAGTTAGAGGGAGTTAGAGTTAGAATACCGGCTCCCTGCACCGGCTGTGGGAGGAGTTAGATGGAGTTAGAATATCGGCTCCCTGCACCTGCTGGGGGGAGGAGTTAGAGAAAGTTAGGGTGAGAGAGTTAGAATACCGGCTCCCTGCACCGGCTGTGGGAGAGTTAGAGGGAGTTAGAATATCGGCTCCCTGCACCGGCTGTGGGGGAGTTAGAGGGAGTTAGAGTTAGAATACCGGTTCCCTGCACCGGCTGTGGGGAGTTAGAGGGAGTTAGAATACCGGCTCCCTGCACCGGCTGGGGGAGTTAGAGTGAGTTAGAGGGAGTTAGAGTTAGAATACCGGCTCCCTGCACCGGCTGTAGGGGAGGAGTTAGAGGGAGAGAGTTAGAATACCGGCTCCCTGCACCGGCTGGGGGAGTTAGAAAGAGTTAGAGTGATAGAGTTAGAATACCGATTCCCCTGCACCGACGGTGCAGCCGCGGTACTGAAGCGTTCATTTCACCTTGAATCGATACTTCCTAACATAACATGACTTTGAACACCCACCGATATGAAAGCTATAATAAAAAATGATACAAAATAATAAATATAATAATAAATAAACCGACCCACAAAATACACAATTGAATTGATATGATTGGAATATGCGTGTGACTGACAAGAAATTCAGTCGTAATTTCTCTCAATTATCAAAATCTTGTGATTAACACAAAAAACGATGGTGAACACAATCCAAAATTTCCAACTGGCCTATATCACAAATGTACTCAATTGAGATCACCAGTCTCTTGCAGCTATAGCAGTCTGAAGCAGTCCTTCTCACTCGTACCTTGACCCTGATGACGATTATGTCGTGGTTGAGGTAGGTGCCCTTGTTGAACTCCTCGTGGGGGTACATCCTGTCAATGGTGAACTCCTGCTCCTCAGGATCAACCACCTGTCAGGACACAGACAGACATACAGACGTGTGTCAGAACACACAGACAGACGTATAAACAGACAGATCAACAGACACACATACAGACGTGTGTCAGAACACACACAAACATATAAACAGAGATACAACAGACAGGCATACACACTCCTGCTCCTCAGGATCAGCCACCTGTCAGGACACAGACACACCTACAGATGTGTGTCATAACACACACACAGACAGACATATCAACAGACAGACAACAGACAGACATACATGAAATTATAATTTAGACATAGACAGACGTACACAGTGCAGATAAAAAGACGACAGACAGCATGATTCAGCTTGTCAGATAGGCTGCCAAGTGCCAATGACTCCAAAGTACGCAGCCGGCATGTGCACAAATATCGTATGCCACACTTTAACAAATATTTCGTCTGCAATTGCCCTGCTATTGCGTTGCAATTAATTACTTTTTAATTGTATACGTTATATGCTCACTTTTTGTATTCATACTATGGGAAAATGCATGATTATACGCAAATGACCTGGATACGTTTGCAACTACGCGTCAAATTTTTGTATTAAGAACTTTAGCATTGCGTCTACGTTTCAATTCCATCTTTGCGTGATATTGTTCATGGCTCATGCACAGAACAATCTTTTTCGTTACGATAAAATAACACGAAAAGCTCCGTGTAGCTCAGGCACTTCGAGAAATAAAAGATACGAAACATTAGTATTTATGGAAAGTGCATAAATCTTTTTATCTCTTAGTAGAACATTGGGCGGAAAAGGCTTGAACTATGCGTTTCTTGGTCACTTGCATAGCTATTGTAATTGCTGAGGGTGGATTGATCTATGGGACATGGTTCCAATACTTGTTCCCTTACTTAATTGCCATTGTCTTCCATTCTCAGCACGTAGACCTGTTGGTACACCACTAGTCCCTCACCTGATTATCGTAGTCTCCCACTCTCAGCACGTAGACCTGCTGGGGATAGTCCACTAGTCCCTCACCTGGTTATCGTAGTCCCCTACTCTCAGCACGTAGACCTGCTGGGGATAGTCCACTAGTCCCTCACCTGGTTATCGTAGTCCCCCACTCTTAGCACGTAGACCTGCTGGGGATAGTCCACTAGTCCCTCACCTGGTTATCGTAGTCCCCCACTCTCAGCACGTAGACCTGCTGGGGATAGTCCACTAGTCTCTCACCTGGTTATCGTAGTCTCCCACTCTCAGCACGTAGACCTGCTGGGGATAGTCCACTAGTCCCTCACCTGGTTATCGTAGTCCCCTACTCTCAGCACGTAGACCTGCTGGGGATAGTCCACTAGTCCCTCACCTGGTTATCGTAGTCCCCCACTCTGAGCACGTAGACCTGCTGGGGATAGTCCACTAGTCCCTCACCTGGTTATCGTAGTCTCCCACCCTCAGCACGTAGACCTGCTGGGGATAGTCCAGCAGGCAGTGGGCGGCTGAGATGATGTGCCACTCGGAGACTATGACGGCCCCACACCAGTGGGCCGTCTCGGCGCCGGCCTTTATACGAACTCCCACCTGGGACGGGCCGAGAGAAGTACGTCAGGGCGTAGAAAATGGGAGGGACGTAGGGGTGATGTATAAAACATGGCATCGAGGGGATATTGGAGCAATGGGTGGCAAAACTAACTGCCCTTATTATCGTATTATATTTGAAAAACTGCTAGTACAATCAAACATTACATACATGATTGATGGAGCCGAGCAATTAAGTTATTTCACCGATTTATTTTCCTAGTCAGCTTCACGCTGCCACATAAAAAGCGTGTACCACCAACTGAGTACCTACCCACTAGCAGCAATCGAGCCCTGAACCCGATCCAGAATAAAGTGAGCACGCACAATACACGCTCAGGCCCTTTCGACATCTCATGTAAGCACCGATTAAAATACATCCCTCCCGTCCCAGACTCACCATCCAGGGGTGTGAGCCGGGCTCTGTGACCTTTCCCGACACGATCTTGGGGTTCTGGTCGAGCGGTATGATTGGTGTGTCGGGCACCACCCGCCTGCCGCACTGCTCCGGAAGCATAGCGCGCAGCGGCGGCGAGGCCGACGGCACCGCCGTCTGGCGGGGGTAACAGGAACTGTTAGTTGGGTGAACAGCCGCCGGGAAAACAATGCGAGAAGGCGAGAAGGTGAGACAGCGTAATGTTTTGCTGCGGGAGAAAATAAAATCAAGGGAGCCTGATAAAACCAGCATAAGCAGCGACTAACTAAAATAAAAATAAAATAAAAATCATCCTAAAAAACAGCTAAAATAAAAATCATACTCAACCATGAACCTTAAAATAAAACTATTGGCCCTTCAAGATCGCGAGCGTTTATACGGTTTATGATATCGCTCAGCAGCTCAAACGTTTGAACCCCTCATCTGGGATCAGAGCCGTCCCAAACCACCCGTACCTGATCCGGCTCGACACTAGCGTGACAGCTGACCCCGACATCCTCCTCATGCGCACAGTTGTTGGAGCCCCACGGCAGGTGGTGACATCTGTCGGTGAAAGTGGTAAAACATCATCGCAAGAGGACATAGGACGGAGCGGCGATAGCATTACATATGAACTCTCACTAGAGGTGGCAAAATGTGGACCCGAGGACCCGGTCCAAAGAACCAGTCTGGACCCATATGGGTCCAGACCGGTTCCTGGAAATTTTATGATGGGTCCAACCGGGTCCTACCATAAACTATACATCTTGCACACTACACATTATTGCAAAATATGAAGCGAATGAAGTGAATGTTTCTTTCCACACAGTAGCTCATGAGTTTCCCAGTGGGAAATAGGCTGTTTTACATGATGCAACTAATGATACCTACAAGTAGTATACGAATACTGCATGGGGGAGCGGGCAATAGCAAAAAATATTGCCCGATGTGACGTCACTGTCGCCCGAGGGTGAAGACCGAAACAAGTGCTATTGCCCGAGGCGAAGCCGAGGGCAATAGCACTTGTGGAGGTCTTCACCCGAGGGCGACAGTGACGTTACAGAGGGCAATATTTTTGCTATTGCCCGCTCCCCCATGCAGTATTCGTTTTATTACATGGCCAACTCTCGGAATCTTTACTTAGTCCTCATTCATCCCGTAATAAAAAATATCCAAACACAAATATCATGGTACAATTGAATGTATTGGATATACAATCATAGCCACGTCACATGTCTACGGCAGTACGGCACACACTTAGCTGCTTTACATGTTAAAGTTGAAGATGCAGCCTGTGAAGAGCTGGCCGCCGCCGGTCTGAGGCCCCACTGTTTCACGCCGTACTTGAGAGTGTGGAGACTCTTCGATTTGTAGCGTTCACCGTCCTTGCGTTTTACAGTAATGTAGAACTCCTTCACAGCGTTGTCCAGGACATCGTTGCTGTGCATGCAGCTTTCAACAGATATGCCTTTTACTTGCAAGAACTCAATGAAGACGTCTTCTGCTGATTTAATCACCTTTTTAGTGCCCTGAGCCCAGCGCGGTGAAAATAGCTCATCCAATTCATGCGGCTCCCACAAATTAAATCGGGGTATTTGAACGGACATGTTCAAATGACGGCCCAGTTTTTGATGACTTGACTAGCCAATCACGAAATCAAACTGGACAGTCTGAGAAAACGACGATAAAATCGATAAAATTACGACATTTGAATTTTTGTTAAAACACCACTGCGCGAGCAACTTACTATTGACCGTTGACATGGCAACCGCTTCTCACCTTCAGAAAGGTCAGTAACCTGACACTGAAAGGCCAGTAACCTGATGCCGGGCAATAGTAAAAAATATCTCATGCCAAATTAACACACACACACACACACACACACACACACACAAAACGTTTATTAAGGAACAAAAGATACACGAGAAATAAAGCATGATCAATGAAACATATGGCACAATGTAGCAACATAAAAGTGATAGCAGAGTGGTGCAAAAGCGCAACACAGGAGCCATGTAATAATTTGTATTACTTGACTTTTGGGGAACGGGTCCAACTGGTTCCGATTCCAACTAAGACCGGGTCCGACTGGTTCCAGAAATGTCCAGCCGGGTCTGGTTCGAGTCTGGTTCCCAAAATTTTCATCTTTTGCCACCTCTAACTCTCACCCACTTGGGTATTTCAAATGCGATCCTGTCCACTTATGATCACAATCACATCAAACTAAACTATCACTTGCGTTTTGAGTTACCGGTATTTTCTGTCTCACCCGACTTTCACACAAGATACCCTCACTCGTGGCAAGGGTAGCCCGAAACGGTCACATTATCAAGGATGGGCACGAGTTGATCCTAGCACCCCGTTCCGTGCTTCTATCCTCAGGATACTGAGGTCCTTCTCCTCCACGCCGCAACCCCCTTCCGGGCTGGACAGGCACCTTTGTCTCATGCGGACTGCTCCCTTGGAGCGGCACCGCTGCTCCCGAGGGAGCGCACCCCGTAGCCGGGTGCAGTGAGTGCCTTGGGGCTGGGTGGCCTGTCCTCTGAACGGGCTCAGCCCCGGCGACTCTCTAGGGTGTCTGCCCAGACCAATGTCTCCCCCTAATTCCTATCATCCTTCCGGCTCTGCAATGGTCTTGTCAGACCGAAAGGGCCTAACCCAACAAAACAAAAAAAAACAAATACAGCCACGCCAAGTACGAATGGCGACACCCCCGTAAGTAAGTAAGGACGACATCCCCCGGGGAAGTCCCTAGTGAGTCGCCCTCCACTCACTCGTCGACGCTCTTCTCGTTTCCGCGGCAGTTGAGCTGATCGATCCAGATCTGACCGGATCCGGGACCGTATTTGGCGTTATCGTGAACAACGGCCGAGCCTTCAAAACCCAGCATACGGCACACCACCTGGTGGTGAAAATGGGAACTACACGTCAGCGAAATGGCACGCCGGCAGTCATGTATTGGGCGAATGACGCCCCGCCCTGAGAAGTCGCAACAATTAAATGGAAGCAGTCGATATGTATTAAACGTGGAATTTATGTCCTAAAGCAACTAAAGAAAACACAAACACTTACATCTTTACATCCAGAGCTGTTCAAATTAGTCCTAGAAAGTGTTATAAAACTCTGAATCGATTGATTGATCAATTTCCACGTCATTTAAAATCCCATCATCAGACCACAACGTAATGCGACAGTGACATGACGTCAGCAAATACCAGTGACGTCATCATCGGGTACCTATCAACATCATCATCCCACTGATCTTTAATCCGTACCTGAGCGTCCTCAGAGTCGAAGTCGTCGTCACAGGCGGTGCCCCAGATACCCTTGTAGCGGAGTTCAACCCTCCCGGAGCTGTTGGTGCCTCCGACCAGACGAGCCTTCAGGGGCAGCTGAGGGAGAAGGTGTTATAGAGGGGTTATAAAGTAGTAGATATGAGGTTTAAAGGGGTAACTCCACCCTCCCAGAGCAGTTGGTGCCTCCGACCAGACGGGTCTTCAGGGGCAGCTGTGGGGGAACGGGGAAGGGGAGTTATAGAAGGGTTATAGAGGGGTAGAGATGGGCTTTAAATGTGTAACTCCATCTTCCCGGAGCTGTCGGTGACTCCCTCTATGTAGACGGGCCTTCAGGGGTAGAAGTGAGGAGACATGGTTAAGGGGATGTTATAAAGGGATTATATGGGGTAAATAGGATAGGAGTTATAGAGCGGTTAGAGGGGAGTATTATAGAGTAGTTAAAATTGAGTGGGTGCAGAGTTTTCGTGGTTAAATGCAATGTAGGCAGCGGGACTGCTTGTGGCTTATATTTTTTATGCAAAGCAAGGATGAACTGATGCAGTGATGCAGCCAAGCAGTACAAACTTATCAGCTGAGTTGAAAGGTCTCACGACCAAAGATCAGAGCAGGAGACCAATAACGCTACGCGTTACCAATTTTATGATTAAGACGCGAGAGAAAGCCTGCTTCGAAGCAGAGAAATATCTACTGAAAGGAGGAAGTGTCCCTATTCAATCATCTCACGTTACACTGATTCCCGAAGCATCAGTCAAATGACTGAAAACATCAACTCATACCGGTAACCACGCATCAAACAGTACATCCATATTTTATTTCGCATTATTTCCATCAGCTTCCGATCATTACTCTCGCCTCGCTCACCTTACAGAGAGCGTCCTCCTCGTCGGAGAAGTCGCCGCAGTCGTCCACCTTGTCACACACGTAGGTGAGGTCGATACACTTGCCGGAGCGACAGCGCCACTGTTTGCTGGTGCACGGTTCGCCCTCGACTCGGCACTTGACGCCTGCCACCTGGTGGAGGGGAGGCAAAACTAGCGGTTACGAGGTCTGCCGTCTACTCCCTGAAAGCGCTAGGCAAGGTGCACGATATCAACAACTCGTAAGGCTGTTATCAGCAACAAATAGGAATAACGGTGATATAGTAACTTCCAAAAGTTAATTTCACTGAATCTTCTTTTCCCTTCCTTCCTATCATTTTTATTCTTTCCAATCCTCTCCCCATCCCTTCCAATCTCTGTCCCCTCCCCTTTACCTCTGTTCACCCAGCCCTCTCTCCTTTGCACCTTTGCTTTTCCCACTCCATTCTTCCTTTCTTTCCAACCCTCTCCCCCTCCCTCTCTCTCTCTCTCCCTCTCCCTCTCCCTCTCCCTCTCCCTCTCCCTCTCCCTCTCCCTCTCCCTCTCCCTCTCTCATACCTCGGCCTCTGTACAGTCTGATCGGCCCCATCCGGCGAAGTCACAGTCGTTAAGTCGCTCCTCGTCTCCGCGACAATTGAGGTCGTCCATCAGAAACACGCCGTTACCGGAGCCGAAGCCGGCGTTCGTTACCACCTGGTAAAAGAAGGGAAATCGTTGAAGACGTGTCATATAAGTGGAAGCCTTGAGTTAGGGTGGTAAACCATGCTAATAAATGATTATGGCCACGTCCGGTGCAGCAGTCATTTGAGCAGTTGGTAGTAATACCGGAACCTCCCTTACAACTCATGAGTATTTAATCGTAGAGTTTATTATGCACACAACTTACACGGCACAGGTATTTTATTTATTTCTGGCAACTTTATTCAGGCAACTTTATTTTGTCCATTGTCCATGCCCATAATCATGAATAAACGACAAACAAACAAACAATTTTCTAGATACCTTTAAGTCGAAACCCATGATGTCCCCTGTCACAAAGACAAAACTCATCACAGACCTCACAGGACGCTATTAGTTTCTTCAGAGGCGCCAGCCGTCCTCACCAAGACGTCACTAACTCACTATGTCACGTCATAGTGAATTACTATGCCGTCACTATGACGCAACTAG